CTGTTACCCTCAGCACATATTCTGAGCTCTAGCACATTCTGCGAGACTTTTGTTTAAAACTTTGTAACAATGTAACGGGTGATGTGCATTCCATCAAGAAATTCTAGTTTTAGCTACCGTATTTTTTTGTTTAGCAAAGCTAAACCAACATTTTTTTAGGTTTTGAGCAGTTATTCTTTGGATAAGCTCTGTAAATAATTAAACACTTTGGAGCAACATTTATTTGACAACATGTCTTAACCTGCTTTTGTGTTCTAAATGAAATAAGATATAAAATATTTTGTATTGAAAATTGGGTGAAGCCAGAAAAGTGAGTGAAGTGAAGGTAACACTAGTGTGGCATGTCCACTTTTTCTTGTTCCCATTTAAAAACACACAAGCACATTTTATATAATCTATGAGAATATTAGTGTACAGTAGTTGATTCTCTTGAGGAATTATGGCCTTTTGCTCGATAAGTAATTTAAGACCTGCTGGATGCATGTACTGAGTGCACTGGTCATGTAAATGCATGGATTATCCTCTTCAAATCTTGCATTAGTCATCATAAATTCTACCAAGCTGTTATACTGTATGTGTTTAACAGATGACTGATTAGTATTTTTATTTGTGTCTTTTCTAAATTCCATCAAGCAGTCTYKTCTGGGTTCACATTATTTTCCWTCCTCAGTTTCAAACATGAAAAACCATCTCAAAAGTTTTTAAATCAGCTCTGTGGGCTGTCCCTGTTCCTCCCCCTCTTCGTCAGGAGGATGATGACGGACCTCTCGGAGCTCCAGAGTGTGACGCCATCTCTGARAATTGCCTGTTGAGTCGCAACGAACCCATACGCACCAAGGTGTCCAAACTGACGGAGAAACTGCGTAAACGCTATCCCACTGCCGCGCCTGGTCAGTCAGCTGTGACGCACATCAGCAGTAAAAGTCTTGCATCGTTGTTTCACCTGCTGTCTGTTAACTTTTTCTCTGTCRCTGAAGGCAACTGTTCCAGCTGCAACACCACGTTCACAGTTCTGAAGAAGAGGGTGAGTCTGAAAGCTTTGGACAAGAATATTTAGGTTTCATGAGGTAATCAAATGTATCATTTATTTACTGAAACTGACTTTAAATTGATGTATGTGTTGTAGAGGAACTGCAGTAATTGTGGCAACATCTTCTGTACTCGATGCTGTTCCTTCAAGGTGTTGAGATCTGTCATGGGGGCAACAGGTGTGTAGAAACGAGTCTATAAGGATCTGTGAAACACTTCAGCGTTTGAAACCCTTCATGTAGTATCTCACTGGCCTGCCACTGTTGGCATATTTGTTGGGCAGCATTGTGAGGACGTCTCTAAAATATCTCTATGTTTGAGAGGACTCGCACTCTTTTGCTTAAATTTTGAACAAGTCCAAAGAAGCTTTGTGCAACATATCAGCTGTGATGTGTCTCAAACATGTCTCAGTAGCTAGAGCTTTGTTTTGACACCTGCTTGGGAGCCATTCTCTGACAGAAGACATCAGAGATTAAAAATCCTGAATGTTCAGATTTAAAAAGCACTGATGAATTATGATTATTGTAAAGCTGCTCCAAATCTGTCTTCACCACAAAAGTGTACATCAGTCGAGTAAATCYATGCTTCCCTTTTTGACTTCCAACCAAAACGTTGTTGGTGACCAAGGCTTGTTAACCCATCTATTATCAATTTAAATACAAACTTTGCTTATAAACCTACAATTATGGGATCAATCTCGTGCCAACAGGAACTGAATTAGAATAGCTCAGATTGAATCTGAATGTGCAGAATTTGAAATTGAATGCATTGGTTTGAAAATGAATTTTACTAAATTAAAACTGAATTTAATGGTTTGAAACTGAATTTAAAGTTTTGTATCTGAATTAATTTGCTTTGAAACTGTATTTTGGTTTATTAAAAATTCAGTTTGACTACTTTCACTTTCAGTTCCATAATTCAGATTTTTGTGTCACATCCNCCTAATAAATGTCCTTACAGAAAATCTAACTGCTCATTTTAAATCAATACTTTTACTTTTAATACTTAAGTACAAAAAATATCAGATACTTTAAGACTTTTACTCAAGTAATATTCCTAAAGGAAACTTTAACTTTACAAAAGTAATATTTTGGTATGATACTTGTACTTTTACTCAAGTATCACTTTGTAGTACTTTATACAACACTGCCTAAAGCCAATTCAGATTATTGTGTCACATCCTGGTCCTTGAGAAAGCCAGGCAGAGTAATCAAACACAGATCAAACACAGAAAAATGTTACATTTACATCACATCATGGATCACATGTTGATCAGACGCTGCTGCTGACTCATCCATGATGTGATGTAAATGTAACATTTTCTACATATAGGTCAAATTAATCACTGCAATAAAATAACTTTGTTTTTGTCACTTTTACAGTGGATTGCATCAACTCTGTTACATTACAGAAGGGAAACTTCACCAAAGTGAAACATAAATCTGTGGATCTGTGTTTGATTACTCTGCCTGGCTTTCTCAAGGACCAGGATGTGACACAAAAATCTGAATTATGGAACTGAAAGTGAAAGTAGTCAAACTGAATTTTTAGTAAACCAAAATATAGTTTCAAAGCAAATTAATTCAAATTCAAAACTTTAAATTCAGTTTCAAATCATACACATTCAGATTCAATCTGAGTGATTCAAATTCACCTCCTGCTGACACAAGATTTATCCCATACACCACCCCAATACCAGTGAAGTTGGGACGTTGTGTAAAACATAAATAATTTGCAAATATTTTTCAACCTATATTCAATTGAATTTYTCACAAACACAAGATATTTAATGTTCAAACAGATAAAACTTGTTTGTTTTTACAAATATTTTCTCGTTTTGAATGTGACGCCTTCAACATGTTCCAAAGAATGTGGGACAGTTAACCATTGTGTTACATCACGTTTCCTTTAAACAACTCTCAGAAAGTGTTTGGGWAGTGAGGACATCATTATGAAAGCTTTGAAGGTGAAATTCTTCCCCATTCTTGTTTGATGAACAACTTCAGTTGCTCAACAGTCCAGAGTCTCTGTTGCCATATTTGGCTCTTCATAATGAGCCACAAGTCTAGTAGCTGAACTCATCTTGGCTCTGAGAGACACCATCTTATTGTTTTCTTGAAACCTGTTGTTGTTTCCTCAGAAAAAAAAAAACATTTGCATGTGAGCGTTATCTAATCTTTTTTTTTTGTTCTTCTTTCTTGTCACATTTTGTGTTCTCAGCTCCAGAGGCGCAGAGAGAGACCGTGTTTGTGTGTTCTACCTGTAACTCCTCCCTCACCAAGCTACAGTGAGATGACCTGTTAGTTCAGAACCCTTCACKGGAACCCAAACCTACAGACCTCAGTTTTCTCATAAAGGTCTATACAATTTTAAAGAAATCTAAGTGGAATTCCAGGCCCTACCTGCCTTTAGCAGCTGCATTTCTCCGTCGTGTCTCATATTGCTTATGGGATTTGTGCTGTGGTGTGTTGAGATATTCCCTGCTTGAACGCTCAGAGRTGGGTTGGACCTCATGAGTCCTTGAAGGCGTAATACAGAGCATTATGGCCTGGAAATCAAATCTCTGCTTTCTTTCTGCTATCTAAGTKGAGAGAGGCATAACTACTACACAGCAGAGGCTGAGATTTAGCTGGTGGATGTTAGYGTTGTTGCTTTTACCTTACCTGCCCCGTGCAGCAGAACTCTGTAGGGATCAAATGAGGGTTGTCCTGTAAACGTGAGCTACTTTTAGATAAAAAAGAAAAAAATTGTATAGGTCTTCTGGACGGGTTCTTCTCTAATGAAACGTTTCGTCTCTCCTCCAAGAGAC